GCATCAATTTTTTCTTCTGCATTTGGTTAATGTTTTTCGAAAAATGCTAAAACGATATGAATCATTCCAAGAATCTAATATTGGTTATATTAGGCGATTGTTTTCAATAATCATCTATAAGACGCGCACTTTTCCATTATCGGTCGAACCAATAAGGTTTTGCCTAATGTTAGTTGAGACGATGTGGATCGTTGTAAAAATGGTCGGTATATTTTTATGATACAGCAGGCGAATTGTGCCGTTTAGCGTCTAAGTAAACGTGTATTTAATAATTTTTTTGCATCACATATTTAGGTAATCTGGCTCCAATCCATCAGAACTGCCTGCCATCCATCAAAACCGGCTGATTTATAATATTAAAATATTGTTGGTATTTTAATACTGAATGATTTTTAGATGTTATGATACGTATGAAGTGTTACTATAACATTTGGCTATTTTATATTGGTCACATTTTTTGAATAATTCTTCAAGAAGCTATCTTTAGAGAATGAAAATTCTTGATCATCTTTTATTCAATGCTTTCAAAATTTTATATTAATGATCCGATTCTTGTATTGCATGCATTCTTTATAATTTTTAGCGAGGAATTCAGTATGAAACAACAGATGCAACTCCTAGTATAACGATTACACTGATCGCTGCCACTCCTTCTTAAACAATGAAATCGGAAGGTATCCGTATCGTTGCTATCCCATGTGTCCAGAAATTAGCTGCACTGTTCTTACAACGGGATTAAATGAAGGTGGTATTCGTATATCTGGAACTTAATATAGCCCCTTATCTGGCGAAAATTTAATTACCTCCAATATTTTCCATATGGATTGAAATTAAATATTGATTTTGTCTTCAGGGTGGTACATTTACCGTATCAAATTCGGGAATGTTCGGCAGCATACGTCACTTTACAGCAATTATCAACCCACCGCAGTCTTGTATTCTGGCCGTTGGAGGTTCAGAGCGTAAAGTTGTACCTGATGATGACGAAAACAGGTAAGCTTCTTTCTACAAAAAAAAAGAAAATTGTTCTGAATTTGTGCAGTCTTCTGGAACAGTTTCCAATTACTTCCGTAACTGATTATTAACAATCATCGATTTCCTCATAAGCTGCTTGTTTTTTCCGTTCTTTATTTACTTATTTGCTTCTATAAATGATTTCATACCTTCTAACATTCTTCGTCTTAAACTAATTAATTTCAGGTTCAAAACTATAACAACAATGCTTGTAACAATGTCCTGTGATCATCGTGTTGTTGATGGTGCTGTTGGTGCAATCTGGCTCAAGCATTTT